GCTTTGTACTGTTTTAGCTCCATAAGTATAGTAAGAATTTAAGAATCTTGTTTATTCAAGGCTTTACAAGTTTTTTTTTTTGAAAATTGTAGTAATTAATAAAACTTTAAAATAAAAAGGTCAAAATGAAGATTTGATTTTGAAAAGTTCAAACAAAGTATTTGTGGGACAGTGAGTGTATACAATGTACAGTGTAGTCAGCTGTCAAGTTTAAATCATTATTGCTACTTTAATTGGCTGAAATTTAAGTTTAGATATGCAATAATCAGCTGCTATTTGATTAACAATATTTTATTTTTAATACTTGTTTGGTTTGATTTATTTTTTTAATTTATCTATTTCATAAAAGTTACAGTTGGACCAAATAAGATTTTGAGAAACTCCTAAAAAAATAATTTTTTTACAAAACAAAATCTAAAAAAATTCAAGAAAAACTCCAAAAAAGCTTTCTCTCCTCATCTTTAAAAACATACCAGCTATTTAGGAAAATTTTCTTTTATATTTCAAAATTATCCTCATCTAGTAAATATAATCTCAACCGTACCTTTTCAAAAATTTCCTCAGTCTCCTTCAATCAATCTCCCTCTCCTCTCCACAAATCGCGATTTTCCTCTTCTCTACTCCTCTTAGCAAAGACTATTAGAAAAAAAAAATTAAAAAACCCAATAGCAGAATAATGAAATCTGTAATTTTTTTGTTTTTACAAAAATTAAAAAAAAAATTTAAAATTCAAAACTGCATTCTAAGTACTTTTTTTTAAGCTTTGGAATTTTTTTTATTTCTTAGTTCAATTACCTTTTAATTTTGAGATATGCATTTCAATTCCTATTAAATGGCTTAGCGAATCAAAGTTCCCCTTTTGATTTTTTTATTAAATATTTTTTATGATAATTTTAACTAAAATTAAAATTTATATAAATTGTTTTGTGAAGCAATTTAGAGTTTATAAAAATAAATTTATTAAAAAGGTTTAACTTAATTTTAAAAATTATTATTTTTCATAAAAGTTTGATAATAGTTTTTAAATTAAATAAAATAAATTAAATTAAAAAGAGAATTCAAATCTTATGATTTTATTAAAAAATAGAAATTTCTAAGTTGAGTAGTTCTTATATGGAACATGGAGCATCACCCTCAATATGGGAAATTGAGATGCAATGTATCTTTTCAATTTGGGAATTAGATTAAACATAAAACAAAATACCTACACGGTAATTTCGAAAAGGTTGGAGGAATCTCCTTCTCTGCCCCACACTCCTTTTCTTTTTCATTTCGTTATCTTTTTTATCTCCTGTCGTGTGCGTACACGTATATGAATATAATATTGATGAATATAATTATTTTATAAAAATATATTATTTCAATTTTAAAATGTATAAACCATTTAGAGTGCGTTCAATGTGTTAGACAATTAAATGAATAATACATTTTTCAACTAAACACTTTTTCTTTTTATTCCTCTTTGGGAAGGAAGCTAGAATTATTATATGGATTTCAAATCTTAATTATGTGGACCAAATTGAACTATCAAAGTACCATTGCGATGCATCAAATTCACTAATTGAGCCATGAAATATTCTTACGGCTTATGATTATATATGGATATCGATATTGTAACAAAGTTGAGTGATGAGTTAAAACAGCAGAGCTTATTCTTATGATTATATATGATGGGCATGCAGGATTGCGAAGTGACCATATGCGGTTGACTTCTCTTCCAATAATTGAAGACGAAGTGGACTTGGAAATAGATTTGAACCAGACTAATTCCAGTGCTTCTTTCTTTTTTCTCCCATTGGTTTTGAGAAAGAAAACGGATTGGAATGGCGACTTTCACAAATACTGAGAGAGATGGAGACCTCTGCTCTCTGGGACTCATGAATAGCTCCTAAGATTCTGATAATACAAAGTTTCAATTTCCAATGTATTCCGTAGATTTTCATGACCCCAATTTCATCCTGGACCAATTATCAATGTTCCATCGAACCAGTGCTAAGAAAGATGACAAAGTTCTCAAAGGGTCTATAAATAGTAAAACTGTATCTTCATTTATGCTTTAATTAATTGGTTAATCTCCTAAATCAGCAAAAGAAGAAAGAAGCTAGCAAAAAGATTGTTTTTTGTTGGGTTACAAAGCTTTTCCTAGGAAACAATGATTATCTTTTATTAAAAACATTGAAAGAACAAGGATACCATTTTTTTATTCAAAAGCATGCTGTCACCACAAAGAAAAAAGTAATAAAAAATATGACTGTAAACACTTATAGAAATGAGATAAATATACAATATTTATGTTATTTTTTAAAAGTGAGAGCTTCAAGATTAAATATTTTTATTTTATTCAAACAATCATTTTATGTGTGTGGAGAGACAAAACAATCGAATTAAGCTGCCCAAAAGAGAAATATATTATATCTTACCAAAATTTTAAAATTAAAATCTCAATATTTCTTATATATAATATCTCTTTGTGGACAAAAAGGCTATATATAGAATTGACGTTTCAGAAAAAGGCAAGCCAAAAAGCGAATGAGCAGATTTCCCTTAAGAAGAAGAGGGAACGTGATATAGCAACTACTGGGGAGCCATAATCCAAAAGGGGCACAGAATTATCATTGTTGATGAGAACCTCAAACTAATTTATAAGTTTGGCATAACCAGTGGATCAGGTTTAACTTTAATTTTAAGCCAATGGCAATGGTATATTCTCCATAGGAAGCTAGACTTGGTCTATGGATGAAATCAAAGTCCGAATTAATTCCATATTGGCAATAAATTTCTCCCTTGTGTTTTTTCTCGATCTTTTTCTTCTACGCCCACTTTGGCACACGTCGTGCGCAAAGGATTTGCTGTCTTTTCACAGGTCACAATAAAATCTTAACAATTATTCGTGCGTGTTAGACATTATGATTTGATTCCCCCATAAGGACTAGTTTCACTATTGTATATCATTGTCAATAAAGCTTGAAACAGCGTCACATGTCCCGTATCAATAAAAAATAAAATAAATTTTAAATATATAAATAGAAATTTTTTATTATTTATTAAATATATTTTTTAAATTAAAAAAAATAAACTTATAATTTATAAATTTGCTGAGGTAAGCATAGAGTATTTGGTAGTAATCTCAAACCACCAAATTACATAGCAATTGTCTTTTTTTTTTTTTAACATCTATATAGACACACACATACATAGATACATATTTCATTAAAAGTAATGGAACCCACTAATAGACAAATACTTTAACACTTGACTCCCTTAAATTCTCCTTGTATGTTGGTGAAGAAATAGAAGGGTGAGGCAAGGCTGATTGGACTTTCGAAACACAAATTTTGACAACTCTAGTTGATGGCCATTGGTCTTAACCAAGCCCAAGTCAAAGAGACATTTTCAGATCATTGTGGACAAGAATTATGGAGCCCAATGCTCAAAGGCTTTCTTTAAACTTCCATATACGGGTTCGAACCCACTCGGGTCACAAGAACTCCAAACCTGGAAAGTGAGCCTTTGGGTTTCATGATTTAATCTCTTTGAATATCTACATGCTCTTCAGATATTCTTTCCTTCTTCTTTTTTTTTTAAAAAAAATTTTAAAGTTGGGATATACTACTTCCATTTTTGTATTGTTAAAAGAGCTACGTAACATTTCTTTCTCTCCATTCTCGTTCCCTCATTCTCCCCTTCGCTCCCCTCACCTCTCTGTCGCTCCTCACTACAGACCGCCGACGAGAGCACTGTTTTCGCTGCCGGCGGCTCTTTATTGCTTCCTCCTCCTAATCCTTTTTTCACCGTTCCTTTTCTTCCATCTCTCTCACTTTTTATTTTTATTTTCATGTGCTGCCGTCGCCGGTGGTGTTAGTTCTCTTCATTTGCGTTTTCTAATGACAGATCCTTTAGTGCTTATTTTTCTGAATTTAGGTTTTCTTTTTTTAAACCGCGTAGGTTTTTGAAACCCTCGAATTTTTCAAACCCTTAAACCGGTTTTTTCGAAACCCTCGAATTTTTCAAAACCCGGTTTTAAAAAGCACCCGGACCAAAAAATTTTAAACCCCTGAACCGGTCTACAGCGTCGTGAAAACATTCAAGAAGCCATTTTCGCCATCGCATCTCCAGGAAATCCATATTTATTTGTGGGTTGAGTTGTTACTTATGGATGGTTGCTTACATCTAAGTTACGTGCATATTAGTCACATTACCTTAATAAATATGTAGAAGGCGACTTACTTTATTATGGGAGGTTTTGTCGACTATATTGCATTATCTGATTTACAGTATTGTTTGGAGTCATTTGTACCTGCACTGCAAGGAAGTTTATTTATGCAATCTATTTGGGTAGTCTTTCTCTCTAATAATTATTTAGACTCATAGTTCTCCCTCATCTGGCAGATACAGTTGGGGAAATCATGTATAGAAGTCTAAAGAAATGGTCAGAAATGTATGATTGCTTCTATAAAACCATCGAAGTTTTTGGAAGAAAGAGCCATTAAGGGCATCGCAATTAATGCAACAGCAACATCATCAAAGTGTGTTTTTTAGGTGAGAGGCGATGAATGGGTCGAAGTAAAAGTAGAGGGAGTTATGACAAGACTTCGCGTGCACCCTGGGGCGAGCCTTGTAAGCGTGGGTACAGGACTGCATCTAGCAAGCGCAGAAAGTAGTGCTTGATCCATTTGCCATTTAGCGGTTTTAATGCATTTTCAACAATCTAATGTTCATATTTTTGAAGATTTTGTTCAGTTATAGAACTCCTTGTATGGATTGAGCTGTTGAAGTTATACGAAGGTGTATTTTTGAGGATTTTAAAGCATGACATGAGGCTGGGGCTTCTGGAAACTTATTATCATTGTGGGGAACAGAAAATCTGCAGGCGATCTCTTAAATATCGTTAGAGAGTATTTAGGGTGGAAGTTTAGGTTTAATTCTCAGAAAAAGAGATAAAGGGGAATCCTGGATGTTTTGTGGCAAAGAAGTAGTAGATCCCTGAGAGTAGTAAGCAATTATGAGGGAATAAATCACACCACGAATTTCTATTGACATAACGTTACTAAATCAGTAAAACTGAGCCCTGCAATTCTTGCAGCTCAGTTTCCTCAATGGTTTACCAAAGGAAGACATTCAATCGACTCATGTTCAAAACATCAAAAGCAAAGAACAAAAACGTTTCTACACAGGGGAAAGGGGATTGCGGGTAGGGGGGACGGGAGGGGTGTTCAAACAGTGCTCAACTTTGAACTCAGGAGTGAAAATTTGTCAGGCCATCATAGCAGCTTCTACACTAATCGTAGATGTCAGTTTCTTTGGCTTCTCCCATCATAGCTTGCACTATTTATTTGATTTAGATCTATTTTTTTTCAGTTGAGTTGAGCCACACTCTATGTCGGTCCCAATGGTAAGACAGATATGCTCTTAGTACCTATCTCCATGAGGCTGCAGCCACAGAAATAAACCAAATTAACAATGTAAATGGAGATGAATTCACGCATTCTTTATATTTACTTAAATCTGAAATTCTGTTAATATTGCCTTGTTATTTCATACTCACATCATGTGCAACGAGGGATCTGCAGTAGTTGGTGTTTGTGAGTATTGTACTGGTGGATCCACACTCACTGTCTTTAAGGGATACTGCTGATCTATCAAGTTTTATTGACCAGGGGTATTGGTAGTTTTGAGCAGTGGCTCCAACGTGTGAAGATGACCGCTGCATCCTTACCGCCCTTGGGACATTTCTGCCTTCAATCGATGCCCTTCGCCTGCTGGGTTGCCTTTCAAATGAATCTGGCCTTGACTTTGGTGCACTTTGTGATCTGACTTTGGCTCTTGAAGATTCTGTATTAGCCATGTAATTGGGGAATAAGGGGTAGTCATATGACACAGATTCTGCATATTCAGGCCTTGGAAATGCAAAAGGAGGTTTTGATGGATCAGGTTTTGAGATAGCTGAACGGTATTGGGGGCTGCTTTGTGCTGTGCTGAAAGAATAGTCCTCAAAATGGCCGCTGCAGGCCCTGGGGCTCATGTCAGTCAAAGCTGATGGTGCTGGAGATAACTGATAATTGTCTTGCTTCGAGCATGCATGATTTGAGGAATAATGAGTTGAGAATCTATGTTCCACTACTCGTTCTGCTTGAGGATGATGTGAATAGCTATTTCTACTCTTCAAACTTCCTTTTGAATCACCAAGATCCATCTCTACAATCTTAATGTTTTCTTCGATTCCTCTATCAATCTCCTACATGCAGAAAAACCCATGTTGCAAATCAAATTGTATAAGAATCAAAAACTGTCGTTTGACAGGTGAAATGAAATACTCCTCTGCAGCTTCTCTTTTACTCCCAAACTTTCGCTCGGAGCCACTAGTAAACTGTTTTGTTTGGCTTTTGGTTTTGGCATTAGTTCTAATTAACTATGACTGCTCTCTCAAAATTGAAATTGATGAAATCCCTGGTAAGTTTGGCATACTTTTTGCCACAATTGTTGATGGAATATATTCCAGGACAGAAAGAAGAAACGAAACAAGTTCTTTTTGAGATATTCAATATCAGATGATAGAAAGAAAACTACTTGAAAGGCAAAGGAGAAACGTACATGATATGCATGCCTGAACCTGTGATCTGGTGTTGACCTTCTGTGGGGTGATTGTCTCTGGCTAGCAGGATTTGATTCTTCAACCATCCGAGTCCTCTGAGCGCGAGCTCTGGCTTGTGCTGTAACCAATGCCTGCATGCATCGGAGAGTAGCTGTGGCCTGTTTTCTCACCAGGTGACCCCTTACCAGCGCCTGTAACTTTACTAGTCCTTTTAATGCATTCAAAGCTTTTCTAGCCTGTTATAACACCAATGAAAACAAATATCATATCTCATAATATTTCTTTTATCTTGAAAGTAGATACATTAGCTACCAACAAAATTCGTGGACACTTCAGAAGTTACATACCAAATATGATCGAAAGACGGATTGAATTTTTATGGCAGCTGCCTCTTCAGCTGTGCTGGCTTTCTCATTGGCAGCAGCAGTTAAGCGGATCACAGCCGCTGCAGCCTGTGCAGCTGCCACAGCAGCGTCAGCAGCTGCTGCTGTAGCCACTGCCACAGCCATGGCATGATTTTTCTGTTCATCCTCATTGTCCAAGGTGACCTCCACTGAAGGTGGTGGTCTGGCAACTTGTTCTGTAGAATTCAAGTCCTTTGTAGGGGTTGCTCCAGCTGAAGATCTCCGAAAACTCCATCTTCTTTTTTCTTTAGGAGTTGTTGGTGGGATTGAAATGGGAGTAGTTGGATTCTCGGGGGCAACTGAAGAATTCTGATTGCTTGTGTATTTTCCTTTTTCTTTCCCCTTATCTTTCTTGCCTGTCAAGAAGCTTTTAAGCCATTTTCCTGTCTTCCCCATCCCTGTATAAGACTCTTCTAGTCCACCATTGCATCACAGAGGATCATAGAAAGAAGAAAGCAACAAGTGATATATAGATCTCCTTGGCTATATGTAGCTTTCAACATGTAATGGGCTTTCTTATTAAAGCAGATCTTAATTGCAGTTTTTTTTATTCTTTTTTTGTCTTTTTTGACAGCCTAATCTTACTGCTGCATTATTCCTTCAGTGTTGTAACTACCACTTTCGAAGGATGATTGGGTAATGCTCATTAGGTAAGCCCCCAATGATGGGTAAAGAAGGAAGGAGGAAGCTACCTTGGCAAGCCACTTGCCACCATCCTGGAAGATTAATGGTTGAGATTCCTTAGCTGTTTAAACTTCTTCAGCTACCCACTTTGTTCTTGCAATTAAAAACTTTCTGATATAATTATCAAGGGTGTTATGGTAACTATGTCCTGGTTAACATGGAATGGGACATCTCAGAAACCATGTGAAAATGGGTCGAGAACATGCAGAATCCGTGTAAAATACTTGTTTCCGGGTGGGAGATCTGTCCACTTGAGGTCTATTTTTGGGGTCCTGGATTTTTAGAACCTGGAAAACCTTTGTGGGGATTGTGGGCTCCACTGAGAAAATGTACAGAGTAGAGTAGCTTGGATTGCTTGTTGGATGAGCACATGCTTATTTCCATCCCAGCTGTTGCAGTACCCTCTTGTCTTTTGCATCAAGTTTTCTGTCGTGGTCCCCAGGAAAGTGAATTTAACCTTGTTGATACCAAGACCCTGTAAGAAGTCATCTTCTCACCAGCTCTTTTTATCCTTTCCTCATTCCAGAAAGCCGTGGGTCCAATAGATTTATACCACTGCACTGGAAACATTGATAAAACAGTTGTTGGGGAGACAAGGGGTAGTTTGCAAATAACTGTCCTGTTTTGCTTGGAATTTGAATTTTTCCCACTGTAGAGGACCACTAAATAGGTGTAGCTGATTGATTAGAAATTTTATTTGGGGTGTTTACTGAAACTCAGAGCTCTTACCATAACAACATTAAAGCTGCTAAAATAAAATTAACTAGCTGCCAGCCTATCTCTCTGCGCAGCAATCAAAACCTGAAGTTTGTTTCTTTATGTAGTTCCCATCAATATATTTCTGTAGATTTAAGTGTTTGAAGCTTTCAGAATGTTTTGAAAATTGCTGATTGTGTCCATTAATTTATGAGACCACCCACCCCCCCTCAAGGAAATTAATCATAGTGAATCTTATTATTTACTCCATAAGTAATAGATTTCTGTTTTGGGGAGTCTGTCACCTTTAGGTAGTTAAAAAATTGAACAGACATAGCTGCTGCAGAAGCAAAACCCATAGAAATCAGAAACTCAATGTGGAAAGTCCATCCTACTCAATCGGATCATGAAAAACATTGCAAGGAAAATTTTCTATTGACCTCATTAAAAAGAAAAATAATTATAAAATTAATTTATTATCTGCATATTTTCCATTTAAAATTTAAAAAAAAAAACAAATTTTTATGAGTCAAAAAATAGTAAGACATACTAGTATACAAGTACCACAAAAACAGTAGTCCAAACCTCTTTGGGGGCTAATATATGAACAACGAAATAATGTGATTTGGACCCATCTTAGCCACTGTACATGAACAATTTGTCTCATTAATGTACAATTCATATATAAATATATTTTTATATTTTTACAATTCATGGTGTGCTTATATGATCCCCCATTTTGACTAGGTCCTGTATCCAGGGAAACACTGTGGGATCCTCAGTTTTTCAATTCCAGTCTCTCAATCCCTCTTCGTTCAATTATTAGAAGATCACAAGCATGCTTGGTTCTCTTTTGTTTTTTGGGGGGATATTAACAATTGTTATTCTCGTACAGAAAAGAGGTAATAATAATTTTAGTTTTTTTAACCGATAGAAACTTGTGTTTGTTTTTATAATTAAAAAAATAGAGACAAATTACTTCTTTTTAATTGATATTTCTAATTACTAACTTAATATAGAATGTAGAAAAGGAAGCACAAGGTTGGAGCAAGGGATTTGCATTCACTTATGTTAAGAGTATGATCCGTGCGTTGCATAAGGGTTAAATATAAGACACTCAATCATGCGGTTCTTGCAGAATTTATACATTTACAATTTATGTGAATAATTTCATACTGCTTTTAAAAATATTGTTCAACCTTTTTAAATACTCTCTAAAATCGATACGTAGTTAACAAGAAAGTCCCTTTGAGATTTTTTTTTAAGTATGTTATAAATATTATTTGTAAGCATGATGTAAATATTTTAAAATTTTTTCATAAAATGGTCCGTAATCATTGTGTAAAATTTACCAACTTTCTTAAGATAAAATAATTTTATTAATTCAAGAAAATAGATTACAATTATCAATAATAATGGACAACAAAAGATGAGGGCAATCCTCTCTCCAGGAGACATCTTCCTCCTCATTCACCCCATACTTAGCTCATGCATGAGCAGCTTCATGCCAAGTAATTCTTAGCAAAATTTGTTGCTATGTGAGGGCTTTTCCTCTGACCACCATTGCAGTTAAACAATTCGGCTGGACCAAATAGCCCAAGCAGCTATAAGAAATGAATCAGAGCGGTTTGGTTGTCCTTTACATGCCACCTAATGCAACGAGCTCTGCAACACTCAAAAAACCATTGGTGTCGCTGCTCCATTTGAAGTCTACTTGCTCCCACACTGCGTTCGCTAAACAACAATCTTCTACAGCATGCATCATTGATTCCTCTTCTTCTCCATACAGAAGGCAACTTTTCACCACATTTAACTTTCTCTTTTCCAGATCACTTCTCACAAGTAAAATTTCGTGTTGAAATCTCCATGCAAAAATCTTGATCTTATGGCTGACCAAATCTTCCTCCAATTTGACTTCTGTAGCATCAATATATGGTTAGGCTCCATAACCTCCCTAATTTCCTTTGTTGCAAAGTAATTTGTATCCACTTCTCATACATTAGATCCCTTTGAAGTCATAATGCTAAACTATTATATCTGGGTATCCAAGTTTATCAAGTGGCAGAGCACAAATGGCCTTGACTACACCAATAATTGCTTAAAATTGCTGCTAAATTCCTGACACAACGATTTTGGCAGCAAGAAGCAGTTCATAGCACAAGTTTGGATTGCTTGTAGAATCGACTTGATGAAGACTTGTGGCTTTGTCCTTGCCGCTTTATATTTATCTTGTCCTATAGATCCCTATAAGCACATTTCAGACCCTTTCCCACCATTGTAGGTAGCTTGAACTATTTTTCTAGATTGGATATATGAATACGTATCTTTGATTTTCTATCATCTTATATTCGTTATTGTCTTTTGACAGACACATTAAGGGTTACATGACTTAAAATGATGCAATTGGTTATTTAGTATCTTTCTTTTACAAAAAAAAAAAAAGATATCGGGTCAGTTTTGTTTTTACATAAAATATTTTTAAAAAACGTTTTCAAGATTTATAATGAAAAATTTATTTCAAATGTAAAATATTTTATCAGTCAATAGAAAAATATCCATTGATTACGTAAAATATCTTACACCTTTGAAAGTTGTAAGACACTTTTCAAAAAAATATATTCTTATATTAAATAGTATAGATTTGATGAATATTAATTTTTTAAAAAAAAATTGATGAATATTAATAATTAATTAAAAATTTAAAAATATTGACATTTAAACTATTCAATGCTATTAAAATTAAAAAAATTTTTAATAAAATCATCCAATGTAATTTAATATTTTTATTTATAAATTCAATAAATTTTATTAATAATTTAACAAAAAAATTTAATGATCATCATTCGATGAATACATATTTACAAATATAGATTTTGGATGTTTTACACAAATTGATGAATGTTGATATTTTTATAATGTTATGGTCAAAATATGATGAAATGAAAATCTTTTTAAAAATTAGAACTTACTTTCATTATAATATGTGGTTAAATGTTTGAAAAATATCATGATTTTCTTTATTTTCATTTCTATGCTTAATTTTTCCTATTTATTATTTTAATATCTAAATAACTCATCACTAATGATGGAAAACATTTTTCGCCGATGATCTGAATAATAAAAAATATTTTTGACAATTTATTTAAATAATTAAAAATAATATTTTTTATAAAATATTTTACACAAAAAAAGGTTTATACAATCAAATTTTTTAATAAGTTATTTTTCAATGAGCAAAGAGATTGCATTCTTGACGTCTTTTTTTGTGCAATTCACCTTTGTTACTATTAATAAACAAGCTTGATCTTCTGTCCAATATTCCTCCAGCATGTGCTTCAACCTCTCTCTTTCACTACTGTCAACTGTAGCAAATAATAAACTATCATCTGCGAAAAAGAGGAAACTCAGGGTCATATCTGCTTGCTTTAACAGCCTTTATTAATAATAAACTATTATCACTATTAAGCAAGGCTAAACAAACTTAATTTCTATTATTTCACATCAAGAAAGTAACTAAAAACAAGAAACTTAATTTCTCTAGAAATTGATTTTAACTTAATATGGTTTAAATCTGAAGATGGGGACAAGCACATTATTAGAAATCAGCATCCAATTTTTTATAGGCCCGTGCCTTTTACCATTAATCGGAACAAAACAAAGAATCAAGATTCATGAACCGAAACTCATACATAGGGCGTTCCAAAAATAATTTCGGGATACCCCACATTGAAGGATAAAGATTTAGCAGTACAAAAAATAAGAAAGATAAAAGATTTGGTTTCCTTTTCTTTTTTTGGGTTTGGGAAAAATAATTTGGTGAAACATCAATGACATTTGTCATTAAAATCTATGATAATCCTGATTTATGTATTCATTATCTTAGAAGATGTAAACCATGAAAGCTAGCAAAGATACGTAATTATTTAAGATTTTGTCTTAATTTCATAAATTAAGAACAAAAAATTAATCCAGATTCATTTAAAGATATTCTGTCAGATCAGAAAAAAGATGTATTGTAATATGAAATCAAATTATTGATTGTGTTATTTGTCTTAAATTATATTATGAATTGTTTAGATACAGTAAATATATATATATATATATATATATATATATCAAAGTGGTAAGGAGAATCCATTATTAAAATGTGAGTGTTGCATGCTTGCATTGTTTAAGTTCTCAATCACATGGACTGGGGAAAAGAATAAAAAGATTTCAACATGCATGTGAAAAGATTCATTGATTGAGGATTAGGTACTCTCCTCTTTTTGTTTGTATTTTCTCACTGTCTAGAGGATGATTCCTTCTCATGTGCACTTTGGGCATCTCTGGCATGAGGAACCAGATTTTTCCTATTTCCCCATTAAGCTTGTCCTCTTCATTTTCATGAGGCCTTCCTAGCTGGGGAGAACCCTCAAGTAGTCAAATTTCTTTTCTCAGAAAGACCTTTATGCTTTATACTTGTTCCAGCTTTTTAAATTTAAATATTATTATCTTATATACTAACGATAGAATTTATATGAATGTATCATGTGTTCATTTTAACTAGATATGATGTAAACTCATGATTCAAGTGAACTTTCTTATTCTAATTCACTAGCAATTTTGTTACTCAAAGGAAAAATGGATTCTAGTTCTTTTTTAGTTTATATGAAAAATAATTTAGTCAAATACAAAGTTCATGTACACTAAAAATATATTAGTACACAAATTAATGGAAATGAATGGCATATTGACTAATAAAATAAGCTTCAAATTTTTATCGTTGAATTGTACATAATATTTAATTTTATGTTGATTTATTTAATTTATTAGTTGATATTTTCTACTTATATATGTCATATATATATATATATATTAAATAGATCAAAATAATTTTTACTTGTATATATAATCTCATGAAAATCTTTGTACTAGTTTGACTTCATACTGTTATTGGTATGATAGGTATTTTTCTTGTTGGGAAAGTTGTGCTTTCAACCTCTTAGCGTCCGTCTCTCATGCTTGCTCTGTTCAGGGACCGCAGTAGATATGAAAATGAATTCCAGGATATGTTTTTGTATGAGAATTGTGCTGAGAGGTCAACATCTTGCACCGTTAATCCTTATATTCCGATGCGCTTGGATCATGTCGGATTTTTTACTCCAGAGGCCCAAATTTACTATACTACTTATTTACCTTCAAATATCCCACAATTCACGAGGTGAACATTGCTGCTCCCAAAGCCAAAGCCATCTTCACTTAGAAATTTGACTTTGGATGCAGTAATTTTTTTTTTTACCCTGAATTATCAGGTAAAAGACAACAATATTTTCCGCGTCCATCCACAATCTTGTAACAGGCAATAAGAGTTCCTTAGTTAATCTTATCAAATGTCACAACTCTCAAAACAAGTATATAAATAAAAATTATATTCGAGTATTTAATTTATTAATTAATATATAATTTTTATTTAAAAAATAAATTTTAAAAATTTTTTTATTAAAAAATATATAAATAAAAATGGTTGAATTCTGCGAAAGAGTAGAGGAGTGGTAACAGGAGCAGCAACATCAAGGTTTTGGACCATCTGGATTTTAACCTTGGGCTGAGAAAATGGTACCATGTACCAACACTTGTGGTCCAGTTTAAACTGGTCTTCCTATTTGCTTCACCTTCCTACGGAGTTGCATTTGCTATCAGCCTATCATCAATGAAATCGCACGCTTTTTGTACGAAATCAACTAAGCCTGTCCAAATAAACCTTGAGGGAAAGTACAAATTCAGATCTGTCATCAGTGAGATTGGATTCTTCAGCTGCTTCTGTATTACCATATTCACTGAGTGCTTCCTGTTCAGCTTAAAAGGAAACCTGTGGCTGTGGTCCCCGAAAATCTTTTATTTTCCTTCAAATTCCAATGCAGTTGCATTTTGGCCTTCACAATGCCAACATGAATTGTGTTGAACTAGTCGACAAAAACCAATTAATTAATTCCAAGAAAGTTTCCAACCAAATGGATTGGACAAGTGTTACTTTCACACCTCTTCGGGTAAGAATATATGCAGCCTGTTTCATCAAAGATCCACAATGAGTGTACATAGTTGGACACCGTGCCAACCAGTGTGCAGCTCCATCAGGCTATGTCCGGCCGTACACTGAGCCCAAAGGCAGCAGAACCCTTTTTGTTGCCCCAAATATGAATTGAATAGTCTAGAGGTTAGAGCCCTATACACGAGCTAATCAGCCCCAGTATGTATTGGGCTGACTCCTTCTAGGGCTCTGGGTTTGCTACAAATCAAAATGTTCATGAGGCCCGCTTACCCTAAATCCCTAATGCCTGAGGTAGCCATAGAAATGAAGTGCACTTTCTGACCCATCAAGAAGAATCATCCAAATCCAGAGGCAAAAGAATACTTTTGACTTTTTGAGGGTGGCCTGAATCATTCATTGAAGAGTACCAAAACGGACCGTGACTAGTGTTAGCTGCTAAGCATACTGATAATGGGAACACAATTAATAAGCATTGAAGAGAGTCCGATCCCAAGTCTATGACCAAAGGCTATTTATTGGTAAGGTTTCACCAACATTTTAGATGGCAACTGTCCAGAAACCATACCTTCAGAACCCAAATGTCTAATTCTACTGAAAAATGCAGTTCATCTGTGAATCATCATCATGCACATGTCTTCAAGACAGACCTTCCCATTTAGCTCTCTTGGGTTGGGCAGCAGAAAGTCATACCTTCAAAACCGAAAATGGCTAATACTATCGATAAATGCAGTACATCTGTGAATCATGCACATGTCTTCAAGACCCTTCCCATTCTGTTCTGTTGGGTTGGGCAGCCGAAAGTCATTTATTAGGCAGATGATTGAAGACAATGCTTTTCTATATTCAAAGTTCAAACAAAATTATGATTCTTTGTATCTTCTTTTGCAAGAAATATAAAAAAAAAATTCAAACTCCACAATAAAATAATAAATTTTTATTCTTTCATATGTATAAAAAAAAAACCTTACATCTATCTCAAGTAAAAAAATTTAATTATTTAATGATCCGTATTTATTTAATATGAGATTTTGAATTCAATCTCTATTCTTTATTTTTTTAGTAAAAAGAGTAAAATAGAAATAAAAATTTATATTCTCATAAAATTGAACAAATTTCTGCAAAATGAAATTCGGAAAATTTATTTTTGATTATTATTGAATAATAACTTTTTTTTTTGTGAACAAGATGAATTTGATGTCACATTCTATGATTTGGAATTGTGAGTTAATGATGATCAGTAATTATGAAGTCAAGTCTTGGCTTGCACTATAACCTTACAAAAGGTTAAAATTAAACCTTATTATCAAAAATCATGGAATTCAAATATAGACAAAGAATATTAAATTAAACACTAGCATTAGAGTTTTTTTTAAGAGAAACAAGATTCTCATTTAAGATAAATATCATTGAAGATGCATATATGAACAATTGATTCATTAATTAATATATAATTTTGGTAAAAAATATCAACTCAAGCCACACGCCACATTCTAGTACTAGTTTTTTTATAAAAGAAAATCATGAAGTATCTTATTATTAAAAACATCATAAATCAGTGTGACAAATATTAAAAAGAACTATGTTGATTAAAGGGTCTAGAAAATAAGCCCAATAATGACTAAAATCCATGAACAATACTAGTTTAAAATTTGAAACTAAATTTTGACATAATATTTAAAAAAAATTAATTTATTCAAAATATTTTAAATAAAATTTTTTATTATATTTAATCAAAATTTTATAATTTTAAATATTATGTCTAAAATTTTTATATAGGAATGGACGGCTCTTTTTTGCAAATCGTTCCCATTGTAAAATGAAAACTGCCGTAGATAAATCAAGCTTCGAACCTCCAACTAACGACAACTGAGTTTAGCCGAGTCACGCCACGTAAAACACTTCAGCCTCCAGCAATCAAAGCGCCGTCCACTTCTATTTTCAAACTCTTCCAGCTTGCTGGAACTCAATAAAAAAAACCTGACCACCCAATCTCACCCTCTCTCTCTCTCTGTGTTTCGTTCCATCTTCTATATTGCATGCTCTAGACATGGCTTCTCTTAGAACCCTTGCTTTTATTGCAATCTTTCTTGTTCTGCATCTTAAGATTGCTAAAAGTGACTTTTTATCTCCACTTTTGTCTCCCGTGTTTGGTTTGTTACTTTCCCTTGTAGTCTTTATCTTTGGCTTTTGGCTTACAAATTAATGGTTTTAAGATCTTTGAGCTTTTTTATTAACTTGGGTGTTTCTTTTTTGTGAATTTTTAAGAGTTTTGAACATGTTTTGTTTGGGTTTTTTTTTTCCTTGCTGCAGATGATGTATGCAAAGAAGTGGAATGTGGAAGAGGAAAATGCAGGCCGTCTTTAAATGGAACATTTCCTTATTATATGTGTGACTGTGATCTTAATTGGAAACAAACTCGGGCTGACAGTGATGATCATCTCAAGTTTCTCCCCTGCATTGTTCCTAACTGTAATTAAGCTCTGCCTTTCTCTTGCTTTTAAGGCACATGTTCATCTTTGAAAATTACCTCTTTCCATTCATACAAGTACTCTGTTTTTAAGTTATTGGTTATGGTTTGTACATATAATCAAATCATGAATGTTTTGTGACTCTTGCATTAACTTGGTTAGGCTATCTAAGGAAATTTTGATAGATTATGAGCTTTTTGGATATTAGAAGTGGTCTTGGGGTTGTTGTGGGGAACTCAGTAAGATTGGATAGAACCATAGATTAACCCCCAGCTACATCATGTGAAGGCGGTTAGGTTGTTGTTTTTAGAGCCATCGATTCACCCCACCTTTCTTTGCTTTTTCTTCTTTGTGGCTAAGAATAGTGGTAGCTTTGCTTTTGGACTAGATGTCTTGCCAAGGAGACAAAAGCTAGATTGGATTTGACAATGAAAAAAGCCATAAAATATGATGTGAACAAATAGAAGGAAGATAGAAAATGAATATTTTAATTCAATTTGGTGATGGATGCTAATCACATCCAAATCCTCTCAAGATTATGTCCTGGTGAGGACCGTTCTTGAGCAAGGGGTACCAAACACTTGTCAATATGTGATTTTAATATCTTAGCTTAGTCAAAGATTGTAAAGTTTAATCTTCTTTTGAAAAAGTTAGATTGCTGATCTGAAGATGTGATCGATTAAGATTTTACATTTGTTAAATAAAAGTTATTAAATCATTTCATTGCTTTGAATTTTGATGATGCTGATAATTCGGTGTTTTTAGGTACGCTAAATTCTGCTTGTGCAGCGGCTACCTCCCCTGCGCAAGAAAAGGCAGCCAAAGCGAATGAGTCTATCCTTGATAGTAAGAATATGTATCATTTAAGCTTTTAAGCTTTCTATTTGGTCATTTGATATCATTTTCTTAATGGTAATGCACTTTGTCCTGGTTTCACAGTCTGCAGCTGGACTAACTGCGGAGGCGGGTCATGCAACAAGACATCACCATTTACATATGATTGCAAATGTTCGGAGGGTTATTTTAATCTTTTTAATGTCTCTGCCTTCCCATGCTACACAGAATGTAAGAACACAGTCCTATGAATAGTTAAGTTGAATCTGGAGGTGGCTGTAAAACATAGGATTTCTTGTTTAGATGTAGTGTTGATTACGCTGGTAAAGTGCTATGTTCCATTTGGTTTTCTGAAAGAAATTGCTAATTGAGTTTGAACTTGTGATTTTAGGTGCAATTGGAATGGATTGCGCAGACCTTGGGCTCTCAGTGTCAAATAAGTCTACTTCCACAGCGCCAACATTGTCTCAAAATGATGTGAATCAAGGTAAAACCAGGCACATAGATTTTTTTCCATTTTCTGTTGCCAAAACAAAAACATCATATAATGATGCTCTTAAATAGATTTAAATGTGTTTCTAATTGTTTCTGAAAGAATAATAATCGGGCGACAATGATGTAGTTCAACCCTTTACTTCTCTCTGTACCCAATCGGGCGACAATGATGTAGTTCAACCCTTTACTTCTCGCTGTACCCGAGTACTTAGTTTATTGGTTGGTGCATGATCCCCTTCCTAAAGAGCAAGGTTTGCATCTCTTCCTCCAATCAAAAAAAAAAAAAACCCAAAAAACCCTTTACTTCTCTCTTTAAAGATCTGGGAATTTCATGGTCATCTTAGAAAGCAGCATCTTTCCACTCTCCATCTCCTGAGTTTTACGAACTGAAGAAAAAAATATTTCATTGTTTGAATTTTAAGAACATTTTAACATAATTTCACCCATCATGCAAAGATTTTCTTTCTAAAGACACAAGCCACTTAAGGACTAATTTACTTAGTGTAGGTGTGTATTTGCAGTTCTGATTTAATGATTGCAATAAATTCTCCATATCTTTTTTTATTTTGGGATATGCATAAGTTGCTATATCAATAATTTAAAATAATTGCTTTCTATTTTTTTCAGGTGGCTTGAAGCTTCTAGGGAATGGTCATTGGGTGATAATCTCAGTGTTGTTGATGGCTATGGTTGCTTGATTCGTATAGATGAAGCTGATGCTCAGGGTTTCCTGTTTCATGATCCAGATAGGACATAGAAATTCTAGCATCAAGCAGCAGCATTGCTTCTTGTGTTATGGCGATTATAGTTAGATGTTATGTTTTCTATGTAAATTTTTCATCTCATATCAGTAAGTCTGCTTTGCCGTACAGTTGTAGGAGGAATTAGTTCCTGTAGCCAGTGCTTGCATATGATATAGTAGGAGATTTTTTGGAGTTCACTTATGGATGATGGCAGTTATTTACAGGTTGTGTATAGAACATCATGGCCATGATTGTATTATTTCTTGTTATCCATTTAAGAGATTCTGAGCTTGGTGTTGGTTTGTGTAATTTATAATTCCTTTAGCTTCCATAGTCCCCATTAACTGATACTCTTCCATTATGAAAGTGTGTACAAAATAAATGGATGACCATGGCCTATCCTAGTTAGAATCCAAGGCATTTTCTAGAGCGGTGCCTTCAATTCTCTTGGGTTCCAAGAAGAAAAACTATAGCCTGAATGTACCAAGAATCAGGCCTCGGAACGTTTTGTGTGGCATGTAGCTTTGGGTTGGAACCCAAGCAGCCCCATCCCCATCACCCAATATGATCTGGGATCAGAGAGAATTGTTTGATGATGTGGGAAACTGGTATCAAGCCTCCAGAGAAGTAATGAACTAAACCCAATCTCTTTCAGGCCCAACTCAAGGACCTGGTTAAAGTCTTGAAGAGCCAAAACTCGAACTAAACGTTGCACTTGGGGTTCGTGGGCCTGTGTAATCACCGCTAATAGCGCAGGTTGCAAGCATGCAGTAGAATTGTTTTTCTGAGGTCGTAACTTGTCTTTTTTTTTTTTGGGACCAACTGGCCCATATGCTGAACATATTCCCAAATTATTCACGATTTATGATTTCCAGGTCGCTTAAACTTGAGGCAATTACTAAGTTATCAAATCGTGTGATCCTATTGGACCCCAAGGCTTGGCTTGGTGGTTCCTAATTCCCTTCAAAGGATGGAGAAGTGTTTAATCTAAAAAAATGAGAACAACTCTGTTTTCTCATCAAAAGAACAACACAAAGGAGGACAAATTTTATGCTAATAATAAGACGGTTGCACTTCCTATATAGGCATTACTAAGCAATCGGATCCCATCTTTTATCCTTTGCTTTTTCCCTGTACAAAATAATGGCACCACCAATCAGCAACAGAAGTCTGTTTAACCCAAAAGGACAAAAAGAAAGCAATGAGGGAATACAACGCAGAACACTTTTGCCGTGAATGATGGAGTAGTAATAGAAAGGCAGCTGAGGAACATACGACCGAGTCTGTCACAAAACCTCATTACTACATATAGGTCTCTGCAGCTTGTCATTCAACCAATCAATCTCTCATCACAGCCACCCTTCTTCAAAAAGCAAGAAACTAAATCCAATATCATTCATCACGGCCCTACCCCTATTCCAACCCCTATGATCCCAATGAGTCCAATTACCTGTCCCATTTCCGACAAACAAATCAATAAAAAAATCTTTCTCTCTGCATCGGCGGCGTACAGAACCCCTCATATATATTTTTTAAATATAATAATTTTTTAAATTTTTATTAAAATTATATAAAAATTTATTAATTTTTAAATAAACATTCTATTTTAAAATTAAAATAGTATTAATAAAAATAATAAAAATTTAAAATATTTTTTTATTAATTTAAAAAATTATTATATTTTTAAAAAAAAACTAAAAAGCATCGATGCTCTCGACTCCCGAGCATCAAATCCAGTGCTTCCAAGCTCTCTTTGGAGAGCCCTGCCGAGGCCCTAAGGAAGTATCTGGTTCCCCAAGAGCAGCACCAGGGGAGCATCGGTGCTCCTTTAAGGATCCCGATCGAGGCTCTCTAAAGAAACTCTGCTGTTTCTTAATAGGGAGTTTTTTAAATTAATAAAATAATAAAATAATATAATTATTATTATAAAATTCAATTAGAAGTAAATTTTTTTTTTTTATCTTTATCACATCAATAAATTGATTGAAATATAAACAATTGAGTAACAATTAAATTTATATATCTAATAAAAAATATTTTTAAAATAAAATATTTATTTTAAAAATTAATAAAATTTTGTATAATTTAAATCAAAATTTAAAAATCAAAATTTTTTTTCTATCCATTATTTATAATAACTCCCCTCTCCACACAGATTTGTTCTGACTTGATTTGAACCATATCTTTCACTTCTTTGTTTTATTTTTTGACATTCGCGTCTGAATTATTAGTGGACCTATTTTCCCTTCTTTGCCTATGCTTTTCTTCCCTACGCGTTCTTGTATTTCGATTCACTCAAAGCTTTTTCATTTTTGTTCAAGTTTTTCTTCATTGTGGTGGTGCCGGCCCTTGCCTAGCGCCTCCCATGCAAATAAAAGGACCCCTTTGGTTTTCCTTCCAGACACCACCTTTTCTTTTTTACCACACCTTTTTCTTCTTTGATTTGTTTCACAAATTTTTTGTGAGAGAGGAGAGCTGAATGCCGGCTAAAGCTATCAGTGTGGAGAACTGCTGGCCTGCTGGGGGGTTAAATGTTGTTGGTACTGACTCATGGTCTTTGGAAATTGGAGCTACCGGCCACCATGTTTTCTATCTCATTTATGTGATTAATACTATGTATTGATGGTGACAGATGTGTCCATTATTGTGACGGTGCTCTTTCACCTAATTGGTGCATGAATAGTTACTAACGACTAACTTGGTTTTTACCAAATTCATGCTTGCAACTTAATTTCAAAACCAATTCCCTTTTCTTTTAAATGGTAACACAAAAACCACTTCTGGGGTTACATTACACAGTAAGAGCTGGGGAGGAAATCAATAGAAGCAAATAATAATATAACCATTTTGAAAACGATGCATGTTGCTAGAAGAAGAAGAGAGTTTGCAAAGGAAAAAAGCTACTACAAACAAATGCTTTGCCTTCGGGCTATTACATTTCCTCATTATGTGACAATGATTTATGATTAATGCAAAGTGAAAACTATAGATTATGCGATGCAATCTAGTTAGTTGTACATAAATTAGAAGACGTAATAAGTGCAAACATCGAATTTATTTTGGTTCGTTATATGTAATCATCATTGAAAAAAACTTATAATATAATGTAAAATGCTTTGTTTTTAGTGGGGATGGCCTAGCTTCCACTTCCTTCCTTAAGGAATCGTCTAAAGTTGGATTCCCTCGACTGGTTTATTCCCTTATCTGCAGACAAGTTCTAAGTCCTCCTATGGCCCATCCAGTTGAATTTAGGCATTGTCCGTTTCTCAATCGTCTTGAATCAGTGGCCAAAACAATCTTCTTGGGATCCAAATATCAGACCTGAAAACTAGAACTGAGTAAGCTTTCTGATCTATCCAAATCTTACCTTCCAACTCAAATTGAAGTACTTGAAACGGTGGTCTTTCCATTCATATAATGTAAGGAAAGAAAATATAAGTTAAAATTTTGATGTCTGGACATGCAGATGTTTCCTTGTCAATCATTTGTTGCAGAGGGAATTATTGAGAAGACTTTTGGTGAAAATGAATGGTTGGTCCCCCTTAAATGAACCTGTAAGAGATATGCATGAAATTAATAGCACCATTTTGGTGCAAAACTGCAAGAAAAGATTCGAGTTTCACGGAGGAAAAATCAATTTCGAAGATGGGATGTGTGACTGAGAATGTGGTTTTTGCTCTCCACTCCCCGGCATCCATATCAGATCTCCCTGATGTTGGTATGGGCCTTAATTAAGAACTGGACCACTCCTTTGTGGGCTCAAACTATAGGTTCTAGACAGCTTGGATAATTGATATATATATATATATATATTGATTTATTTTCGAAAAAATAAATTTTATTTTGATTTGGTGAATGGGATGTATATACTTATCATGGAATCAATTAAACCAAATGTTTAGGTGCAGCTCCAGTCATTTTAAGCCCTTTCATAATGTAAATTGAGCATGGTTGCTGACCAAATATACGAACCTACATGTATGGTGGCCGTAATCAAAGATTCCACTGATATTGACATTGAAATTGAAATTGAAGGATGGGTTATTCGGCCAAGTGGGATCATAGAGCAAGATATTGGCTTCAGCAGTGCAAAAAGAAACAGTAGGGTCTCCTTGTCATCCACAAATAAAAGTTTCTCTACAAACATGGAATTCTGTGAAGCAACTTCAGTGGCTCACATCACCTTCCTTGACCTTGGGAGTTGGTGGTGGGTTTTAATCTCCCATTTAATCCTCCCTCTCCTCTTTTGCTTATCCTTTGCTAGGGCACTGTCCCATCTCATCATATCTATTTGGATTCTTTACTCTATTTCCCCAATTTCAGAATAATTGATTTTTATACTCGGGTAAAATTGAGCCGTTTTAAATATTTAATTTAAGGTTCTATTATTATTTTAATATTTTTTACATGTCAAAATAACGAATTTATCACATGATATAAATTAAATTGAATGTCTTTTTCATATTTAAGTTTTTAAGATATTTCAAATTTAATTCATATAAAATTTCTTTTATCATCACTTCAATATTTAAAAAAAAACAATAAACTTATTATATAACATAATATCTTAATAAATTAGTTCTATATCCATATTATATATTGACATCAAATTGAGATTTCAAATTCAAAATTTTAGTTGAATTAACCAAATAAGTTAACGATTCGAATAGAGTTGCTTCACATCATTATATAAAGGTAATTGAATAAAAGAAGAATAATTAGATTATAAAAAGTTTCAATATCATACAGACATGTCATATTTCATTCATTGACTTTTTGTAACGGACGTGATATATGAACATTATACCTTACAATTATCAAAATCGAGATTACTATGACTTTGGTAAGATATTTCCATGGTAATCAACATAAGATGGGTTTTACCCAGATGTGGGTGATGGCTAAAGAAAGAAAAAGACCAACGGTCATTTTTGGGTCCAGCCAGGAACCCCCCCAGGTTCAGGCTCAGGGGGTTAAGAGTCTGAGTCACGGTTAACTGATCTTTGGAGCCATATAGGGGTGGTTTATAGGTCTCCAAAGAAACACGTAGTATCGAGTCTTAATGATGACAATGAGATCCCTCTGTCCTACCAACTCATTTTCTCCCCACTTTAATCTGTTTCTTATCCCTCTATCTGTCCCTGTCTCTTGATATTTAATGAGAGCAACCATTGGAAAAAAAAAAAAGAGAAGGAAGGAACAAAAAAGAAAGTGTTCTCTGGCGGATTTTCATGTAGCTTAACTTTATGACATTTATAAATACAACACACGGCTCCAATCATAAAACCTATCATGCTTAATGAAGGCTT